AAATCTGAGAACTTGGGCTCTTTGGGGGGTATCATTCGTTCGTCAGGATGCGCCTGGTTGTAGAGTTTGAAGGCATAGTCAGTGTTGGTGAAGTTCTGTTTGGCCTCCACCTTTGTTTCAGCGTTAGTCGCAATCCAGTCGAGAAGTTTGGTGCGGTCGCGCGTGTATTTGGCGTAAGCCGCTTGGTACACCTCGAGAGCTTTGTCATGGCGCTTTTTTTCTTCAAGTGCAGCTTTGTCGCCCCTGCCAAGCGTCCTCGCCAGATAATTACCTCCGATAAAAACCGTGGCGTTCAACACAACCCCACCAACCATAATCGCGATGCTCGCCATGTTTATATATATCAGAAGCTTTTTCAAATCATTGATTTAAAACTGTGTACTCGAGGTTCTTCTTGTCTTCCGCGGGTATTTGCGAGTTGGTCACAATCCAGTCGAGAAGGCCTTTGGTATTATTTTGCAGGTTGAACTCATTTGGACGGGTTTTAGACGCTGAAATTAAGGATTTGACAGCACTTACTTTATATTAGTAATTCTTTATACCTTATTTTCCGTTATTTTCGCGGGTCTTTAAATTTCGCGAACTTAAAGACTCGCGAAAAATAACGACCGCGAACTTTGATGTCGCGAAATTGAATGTCTTCTCCCTAAAGAACCATTTGAAGAGATTGAAGGTTCTATTGAGATCTCCTAGAGCGGACATATAACGATACTCTCACTACTGCTACTGTTACTGCTACTGCTACCGCTACTGCTACCGCTACTGCTGCCGCTACTGCTGCCGCGACTGCTGCCGCTACTGCTGCTGCTACTGCTGTTGCTGCTGCTGCTACTACTGCTGCTGCTGCTGCTGCTACTGCTACTGCTCCTGCTACTGCTTCTGCTGCTACTGCTGCTCCTGCTGTTACTGCCGCTACTACTACTGCTGCTACTACTGCTACTGCTGCTACTGCTACTCCTATCTTTCACGCTCGGGTAGCCAATCACAACGCAGGATTTGGTTCATCTTGCCCACTCACAGAGCTAGCCATAAAATAAAGAGTATTATTAACTCATTCTTTTTATTGATGCATTCACGCAATCACTTGATAACAAAAACAACTAATATCAAATTTATCTGACAAAAGAAACGATACTCATAAGACAAAAACAGTGCGAAATATACTTTCATTCTCATCGTCCATTCATTTTGTTTCAGTGTGAATAATTTATTTGTGCGAATATTCACTTTCCAAGAATGAACACCTTAGATTCAACTTCGTTTGGGTATCCTATATAATTGATATTAACTGCGGCTTATCAGCTTCAAAAGGTAAACGTTGAACTTCATGATAGCCGATTTTTCTCAACTTTTACTCGGGCGTATGCATTAAATGACATACTGCCGTTGCCAACAGCACTTTCAGCAACAGTCTCAGTCTTTCAAAACTGCATCTGTGGGATAAAATAATCAAACGAATAACCAAATGATTGAAGATAAATAAATAAACGAAACAGTAAAGGAAGGGTAGAGCTGGCAGGCAGGAAGGAATAAATAGCTGCGTCTCGTCATCTTTAAAGGAGCTCACACATGGTATTTTGAATTATTTTGTCCATCTAGAAAATCACCTTTAAATTGAAGGAAACCTGAAAATAATAGTTTACTGACATAGAAAAACACCAAAAGAAGATAATTAATCATAAATGCACAAGGATGGTTAAGGATGGAGAGGTTAAAGACGGATTACAAACGATGAACTTAAACTATTTAGGCTAGACTTTGACGTAGCTCCTTGAACGTTTGTTATCAATATCATTGTCACTGTCATTGTCATTGTCATTGTCATTGTCATTGTCATTGCCATTGTCATTGTCATTGTCATTGTCATTGTCATTGCCATTGTCATTGTCATTGTCATTGTCATTGTCATTGCCGTTGCCGTTGTCGTTGTCGTCGTCGCCGTCGTCGTCATTGTCGTTATCGTTATCATTATCATTATCATTATTGTTGTTGTTGTTGTTTATATTTTTATCATGTGAGGAGGAGGAGGAGACCTCATAACAAACAAAAGTAATCAAAGTGATAATCCTTCGCTCGTTAATAAAAGAAATACTCGGGAATAACATATACAACTCATCTTTACTGTTTGCCGGAAAAAAAAGTTGACCAAAGACCGAAATCGTCCCCCTTCCAATGCGGCCTCCGTGTGGGTAGGTAAAAACAAAGTGACTGCAATATAGAGGAAGGCGAATTGGAAATGGCATAACAGACTACTGTCTTACGCGCGTGGACTTCTCTAAAAGAGTATTTGTGCCATCCAAATTCGTGTTGTTGTCTTTCAGGGTATTCCAAAACGCATTAGTTTATAACACCAAAACAATTCAATACTCGATAATGTTACATGTAATGTAATAAGCGATGAATTCGGTTACGTTGAAATAGCGATATTTACATACCGTGGACCTGAAAGTCCAGACTTTCTTGTGAAAGAAGGGCTGTTGTAAACCCGAAGTATGATATCATTGTTCTTAAGCCATTATTAATACCCTCTTTATCATCGGTCGATTCTTCTTGATGTTTTAGTCCTTACCATTTTGAACTCTTTTAAGGTATGTTTTGGCTCCAAGTTCGGAAATTTACCGTTTTGAAAACGACGATATACAACGGCATATTTGTTCTACCATTTATTTTACTGTTGAGCTTAGATTGAAGGAAATCCGTCACTGACGAACTAATAACGGGAGAAGTCTTATAATTATAAACAGCAAGCCGGGATGCGTGAAGCAATTGACAGGAATCATCGCAAATTTGTTTTTACCACAGACTACACGATTAAGGTGCATGTTCGACCACCATCGATCACACCTCCCACGTAATTTCAAATACTTCGCGTACAAATATGTTCGTTTCTTTTAATTGGCGAGCATGACACTTACGTTTCCTGCTGGTACTCCATTGTTGGGTTGACAGAAATTTTCCTTCTTCTCAAGGCTACTTGTGCTAATGTTCTACTGGTCTGGTCACTGCCCATGGACAGAAGGCTGCATCTACTGTGATCCACTATTCCTGTGCTTAGTTGTGCATTGCTACGGTGCCGAGGGCTGCAAATACATGAACACGTCCATCTGTAACATAGTTGATGCGTTTTCATCAACTAAGGCTGGTCAGGGGCGTGGCAGTACCTAAGAAAGAACACGAAGCAATCATTACGTAGTCACTTGAGAAAGAAATGGTTCTTCCTACGTGGGACTGCTAATAAATCGATAAACTACTCAAGTTCCTATCAGCTGACAACCTCATCAAATGACTTGCATCAAGCAATTCTCACCTAAATTTTTCTATCAACAACCAACTGTAAAACAACTTGCGTGTTTTATTTTTCGTTGTTCTTTTTTAACGAGCGTATAATGTTCCGTTAAGAATTTTTCGCTCAAGCAATTGCATCCAAAGAATATTGAACGTCATAAAAGCTCTTCCGAAGAGCAATATATTTTGGCTTCAAGACAACAAGGAGAAATGTCCCTTGGATTGGCCGCCCTTCATCTACTCACATCCATACGTTGCCACTTATCCAACGTGGTTTTCCCGATGGTGTAGCAGATATCACGCCCTACTAGGATGCGGGGAGACGTGGGTTTGAATCCTGCTCGGGACGCGAATATTTCGAAAGCCACCTGTAAGTTATTTACAACTTTGTATCATTGGTTTCCACAGAGTTGTTTTAGTTTACAGTACAAGACACATGACTCGAACGCGATGCATTCGGTACGCAGTATAAATAGAAGAGTGTTCAAGACTTCTTCTTTAAATTGACGGAGGTAAGAAAAGGAAAGACTTAAAAATATTCAAGGAGTCAAGTCTACTGGGAGCCTGCTTGCTATATTTTAAAATCAATTAATATGACTATCATAACTCGAAGCTTGACACACATGTAATACACCAAAGTAGTCTTTTACTTTCATGACTACATACATTTACAGTATCGCTTACGATAACAATTACTAGTACCAATTAATTCATACTGTGAACCATTTTTCGTAACTTTTTCACAAGATCTATACACTGTTTCTCCCAGCTGTACTCCTTTCCATAGGATTCCCGTAACGCTTGGATATCTTGCAGCCATTCTCCATGTTTTTCCCGGACAGCCTTGATTTTCTTCGCCCAGTCTTTGGGCTCTTTGGAATCAACAATACAGAAATTGCCAATTTCGGAGTCCCCCAATGCCTTAGCAAAGCCTGAATTGCCGCTCACAAGAATGGGCAGACCTGCAGATAACGCTTCAAGAGCAATCAGACCAAAGCCTTCGGTTCTTGACGGCATAATGACTAGGTCAACTTCAGAGAACAACTCTTTCATTTTGTCTCTGCTATCTACAAATTTTCTAACAGTCAGCTGCTCTTTAGCAATACCATATTTCAGTAATTCACTTGCTACCTCGTCTTCCTCTCCATCAGGTGCACCAACAAATAGAAGACGATAAGGTCTCCCGTTCAGTTCCTGATCAGCAAAGGCTTTAGCACCAATGTCATACCCCTTCAGCTCGAAAATCTTAGAATCACTGCGGCCACATAACAACACTTTGAACTCGGAGCTTTCATTACGATGTTGCTTTAAATGTACAAATTCCTTGAAAAGGCCTGGAGTGAGGACAAAAATATCCTTGCCTTCCTCAGATCGCAGACATGAAGAATAAGCTTCTGCCAGTTTCGGTCCTACCGGTACAACAAGATCAGCCAGTTTACAGAGATTAACTTCGATCTGATGTTTTCTTGCAGCCTCAGATACAGCATTAGTATGACTTTTGTGTATGCCTAGTTGTTCTTGAGCAGTGTGCACCAATTGAACCCACTGACAGGATTTAGATTCTCGTAAAACTTGTCCTTGACGACCAAGCTTCATGCCATGACCAATGACAACATCCATAGTGACGTCATGCGGCGGCCAGCTTAACCAATCAAGAGAATCTTCATAGCCCGGGCGTTCCTTTGCCTTAGCAATAGTTATGCCAGATCTCTTAGCCTCCTTCTTGTGCTTTTCTGTAATCTGAGCGTTCTCAGGAACTAAGAGAGTGACTTCCACATTAGGTTGCGCTGCCAAATTAATTGCCAGCTCTCTGTTTAACGTTGACAAACCACCGGCTGACGAGGCCCACTCGTCAGCGAGGAGAGTAATTTTCAAGATATGTATGGGATCCTGTCGCAGAGATGCCATCTGTGATGTAGAAGCGACGCCAACTTCAGAACAAACCTGCAACAAGGTGACAGTGAATCAATAAAAGCATTCTTATAACAATAATGAGCGGCAGCGTAGTCCTTGAGCCGGGAATTGTTTGAGATTCCTCCATTAACTTGAGTATGGTCGCATATGGATGACACATTAATGTAGCGTCGTTACTTGGCTGTTGTTCAATTTTGATTTTTTTTTTTTTTTTTTTGTGGAGCCACTGAGTATCTCAGTGTAATGATCAGTTAAGAGGCCATGTCACTAAGAACGCTCCACTTTATTTCGGACTCCCAAGAGAGATTTTCTTCATATTTCTTCCTCAAGTTATACTATCTATCCTTACAACTAAAATGCAATAGTTGAAATTCCTCGCTGGATATAACACCAGGTTTAAAGAGGCATTGATCAAATCATAACTGCGAGTTTTTCAATAATTATCCAAAAGGTGAAAAGTCTTTCCAAGTATGCATTTGTCGAGTACATTTCTCAAGGAGGGAAACATGTGCGTAGATTTGTATCTCTCTTCTTCTTAAAGGCATCCTATCACAGTGATACATCAATTCTAATGCAACTTACGGATTAGTCTTACCTTAAATTCTCCTTTCAGGGGTGACATTCGTACTTGTAAGCATAATTCACACACAAAGTTGTTTTCCTCAAGTTTGGGGCTGCTGTAAAACTTCACATCACACAATTCCTTGTCACTGATCACACGAACTGCAACTTGACGTTGAATTCGTTTATCACCTTCAAACCTGTTTTAAATAATATACATAGTATATCAGAATGTGTTTACTGACAAATACACGCAGGTAATAGTAATAAGCTGTAATCATTTGGGTGAATAAAAAAAGAGATAGTAGCGCCAGGAGGTCATTATAAAAAGTATAGTGGGGGGGGGGGGGGGGGGGGGGGGGGNAAAACACATCCTAGTCATTTAGCTTCGCAATTCTTAAGCATTTCCTTTGTTTTTAAATAATTTAATAAGATTACCACTGCCATATGTTTCAATTCAATGAAGTTTTGACCTACTTGTTTATCTTCTTTGAGTTTTACCATTACAGTCCATTTTCATCGGCTCTTCTGATTTGTTTCTGAAATCCATTTTCAGTGACGACGGTCTCAAAAGTTAATTCTAATTTGTCTCGTGTTCTGATAAAGTATACGTATTTCCAGTAACCAGTCCGGCGTTTATTGGGATCAGACAACTAAATCATGGAAGTAGGACTTGTCTAAAACAAAAAAAAACCGGGACGTAAAACGAACCACTCCACACTCTGCAGCGCGCTCATTAAAGCAGCATTCAGTTGAGGCATCTCTACACCACGCGGTGAAATGTTTGGTCCGTTCTCATGCATGGTCGTAAGGAGCAAGCTCCCAAGAAGGTCTTCCATGCACGGACCTTTCACTGCCGCACCGAAGAATACAAAACACCGAGACGTAATAAAATTGTCTTGGACGACATTGATTTGAGATCGCCTGCTCGTCTCACCTTTTCGCAATTTGACAGCTTACGCAACATATGTACACTAATACCGCTTGACATTTCATCACCTATGGCGTAACCACTGTAAACGGGTTTACTATTTCATTGGAAGTAGGCCTGTTTTTCAGCCCAAGCGCAAATTTTCGTTTGCTCGTTTGCTCAGAAGTCTCAGAAGTGACTGAGAAGAAGTTAAATGCAAGTCAAATATATTTTGGGTTCTTGTTTTTGAAAGTGTTCTAACGCATTGTTGAATTTAAAAAAAAAAATAGCGTTTCGCATTTCTCTCCCACTTCCCGCCCTCTTAGAACTCCCGCTTCCTGCCCTTTCCTCTCCCGCCTCCCGTACCCTTCCGCCCCCTCTTCTCCCAGGCTTCCGCCCCCTTGTNCCCCCCCCCACAAAATAATTAGTACACACATTTATGTTTTCTTCAACTTTTACTAAACTACACGACCCCTCATGCAAAGCTTTTATGTTGTTGTTGTTGTTGTTGCTGTTGTTGTTGTTGTTGTCGTTGTTGCTGTTGTTAAACTCAGTCTGGTAAGAGGGGCACTAACAGTTGCTGGGCAGATTTCAATATTTTGTCATTTAATCAGCATATAAGTGCAAGTTTTCAATTTTTTTTTGTCAAGTGACTTTACGTTTTGCGAGTTTGGATGATTTTTAGCGGATCTAGCTCCAAATTGTTCACATTTCTTATGTATTTTTTGTATTTTTTTTTTTTTAACTCAGTTTTGGAGCTGTTCTGACTTTAATAAAATTGAAATAAAATATCCAAATGCCAATCAATTCACGATGAAATATTGTCAATGCCGTTACAACATCTTACAAACTAGGGTTTCTTCGTCATTCAAAAATATGTACACGCATAATTTATAGATGTATATGTAGCTACCTGAGATAAACGTTTTCCATGACATTTTTGTCAAGTGCCTTGATCCCCCCTGAGAGAGAAACATATGCCTTGTCATGTCCTGGTATCATTCCTTTCTGCGAATCAGCCTCACTTGGGAAGGTAATGTTCTTATCTTTCAGCTCTTCTGTCACCTTTTGTCTCAAGTGAGAGGGACAACAAATGAGATGTAAAGCATCCTGAGAGCCAGGCCGGTCTCCTGGAGGAAAGTAAGCAATGAACACTGGCAGCTGTGGAGGGCACCTGACGAGGCTTGAGAGATAGCCAGTAACGCTCGCAACACTGAAGGCTATTGTGCGCCCTACAAGAAGAAACGTATATCTGGAACAAATGAAAACAAACGTGAAACAATTTAAGATTCGATAGTAGAAACCTGACACTCATACAGCTACAAGACTTAACATATAGTAAGCCTTCAACGCGATAATAGCGCGGTAAACGGGAAGTGAATAACTGACATAAGTTTTTGAGTCACGGACAGCAACCGGAAGTCGACTATTCTCTTCTTTAGTACGTATCATTAAATTTTTGTTAAATTAAGCGTCAACAGCTGATGATACTTAAAAAAAGCTTTCCACTTCATTGGTGAGAGTCAAAGCGCGCTAAAACAAAAACATACATTGCCCTTTGGACCACGACTTTTGAACCGCGCTTAGCCTCACAGGATTATATGTCTCCTGGCATTCATCGGCTATTCGTATAACCCGCTGAGAGATTAACTACTTCACAGACTGCTACACAACTTTGAACCACATTCCTACCCAGAGAAACGCTGGACTTGGAATCTAACTGTCTTGCCGTCAAATCTAATCGAGTTCTTCAGATCTTCAGTGATTTCAATCCATTCTCTTTGCTCATCCTCGGACCTCAGAAATAGTACTCTAACACGAAATTTTGACACATCGGGAATGCCGAGCTGTTCAGTTCTTAGAGACACTGGCAACTGGATCGTGACGGGCTTCAGGAAGTCGACGACTTCACGGCAGGAGATTCGCAATATGGGTCCAACCACAACCTCTTTGCCTTTAAATTCATCACGAGGAACTTCTTGCACCTAGACGAGAGGGGACAAGAAAAAAGTGACGTGATTTCAAGACATACCCAGCTGGTGGTACTATCAACGAGGCTGCTACATAGAAAGCTGACTAAGCTTTCTTCTGGTCAAAAATGCCGATACGATATACCGAGACAGTCGCGTCGTAGGGATTCCAATACACAGACAAAATGATACAAACATGACCCGAAACCTGAACAGTGGCGTTATTTCTGGTGTACTGGGAATAGGTGACTAAACCTTCAAATCCACTCCCTCGTACAAGCAGGCCTACCTTTATTTGCAGAGGGATCTGTGCTTCCGGCGCAACAGCTTTCATAGGGATGGTAACGCAAACATATGGATATTCAGGCAGGTTGAAAGAACCACCGTTAGATGTGATGATGTAAGGTGTGGATGACTTTAGACGACAGACTACTGCGTAGGTTGAGCATTCTGTTATCTCAGCTTGCACAATGGGGAACAGAAAGTCACGAACATCTTTGGCCGACGGATCTTTGTCTTCAATGTCTGTTGTCAGTATGATGGAAAAAAATACATATGATAAGCAACTTTTTTCAACAGAGATCACGGTACTTTTTGGCAGGACCAAGAATTACAACCACTGACCGGTTCCAATTTGAACGCTGCTTATTCACAGACTTCCAGTCGTTCTGCACTGATCCAGAGTTTATTTCGTCAAATCTGATTGGCTGATGAAATAAAGTGAGCACTCTGTAGATCTAGAGTGCATGTTCACAAGTCGAAACCGATGAGAGATTACGATCTGTGAAGATGACTAAAAGGAATGCAGAGAATCTGGAATCCGAGGCATCAATCTGGATTGTATAACCGTTATTCTTATTCTACATCATGACCAAGAGAGCATGCTAAGAATATTAAGTACTGTACATTCTGTATACATGCTTCTAAAAGCGAACTAAAAGCAATGTTTTTACATGGAATTGTTTTAAGTCTCTGCAGGACCCGTTCGGCGGCAGGAACTTGTAGCTGACAGTTGTCACCTCGCGACGCGAAGTCAGAATTTCAAAATACAGTAGTTCTAAGCCAAATGGTGACTAGAGCAAACATCTTATATCAGTTTTATCTGTAAACTATATTTTAGACCACCAAATGCCCCAAATCCTTCTGATTTTTCTGATGCTTTTCTTCAACGACAGAATCAAAACAAAAACAAACGCTCGCAAAGCATTTCCGTTGACAGGGAGTCTTTAAACTATTACTTGTTTCCTTTAGTTTCTTTTGAACCATTAACCACGTCTGTATGGAAGGTTTAAGCTAGGCCAGATAATATAAATCAACTGCACGATTGCATAGGGATCTAGGTCCCAAGTGGTCCCACAGGTAAGTTGTCGCTTCTGTCAAGTTTGAGGGGTTTGTTGGTTAAAAAAAAACAACAAAACAAAACAAAACAAAACGGTAGCAAGGAAATTGAAAATTCAAAGTTTCAAAGCCAGGATAAAAGAAAGCTAAAGCGTTTTCCTCAAAACGGTCCATCTTTATCATTCTACCATCTCATACTCTCTTGAACTCCAAATCTAAGTCCGATGGAATTGACCATTCCACCAACGATAAGGAAAAGTAAAAAGGAAGCCTGCTAACCTGACAGACTCTGAAACTTTTCAGTTTCCCGTACGTCCTCCCATTCATTTGTCTTCTTGTTAGTCAACTTAAATACCACTAGTTCATAGCCATGTAGGTCAGCCGCACTGTGGGAGAGTGCCAACTTCACCCCAGCTTTGAATTTCAGAGCTTCATCACTGTTCGTCGAGATTTCAATCACGTTGCTTACAACAGCTTCGTGTTCTTGGAGTTGGGGTGAACACGCTGTGGATTTCCATCTATAGACATCTATCACGGTGGCCTCAGGTACAGCATCATGAGGGAATGTCACGTGTACTGCCCATTCTTTCAGGTCCCAGTTAGTGCCTTCATTAGTTACGGTCCCTCTGAAAGAGAAGGCATTCTTTCAGGTTTCATGTAAATGAAATTATTTGTGAAAACATGAAACCAAACTTTAATTCATACACTTCACAGGTAATAAACATAAAATAAAGCAATGTTAATAACACTTTTCAAACACAAATTGATTAGGGAGGGGAGGAGGGATTTTATCAGTTTTTTTTTTCCAAGTATTGTCAGTTTTGCCTCAAACGTTAACGGAAATCTCCCGCTGAACATAAGTGTGAGCTTCAAAGTAGTTAATGTAATTCTCTAGATCTTTTACTCTCCCAGATTTGAAGAAGGTATCTCCGCACTGCCACGCACTGACGTCATAATCATCAAGTTTTGGAACAACAAACCTGGCGATGCGTGAGAAAACAGGCAGAGGCAAAGCACTTACCATACAAGTCAGCTTGAATTATCGAGTTCAGGCCCGGGTCGTTCAAACGGCGGACAACGCTATCCACCGGATAAAACACTATCCAGCGGATAGTGTGGTTTGTTTTGTTTACACCTATCCAGTGGACGGCCATTTATCTAACGGATAGCGTTATCCAGCCTTCGAATAATCGGGGCCAGACCTCTAACTCCGTGTATAGAGACATTAAATTGTACGCTGGATCAAGACTGTATTTTGTTTCGCCGATATTCTCAGGCAAAACGACTCTACCTTCAGGACCTTACTAATACTCACTCGTGTATTTTTAGCTTGTCAGGATCTTGCTCATCCGGACTCTCTAGCTCCTCCAGCTCTTGCTCTTCAATTACAAAAAATAAGGAAATTTACTAGAAATATACGTTTTGAAGACTAAAAATAAACTACTTGAAGCAAGTATTACCTTTTAGTCCCAATAAGGCCCCTGGATGTTTTCCAGTTCCTTTCAGGGTCTAAGCAATACAAAAAGTAAGTTGTTAGACAAAATGATACACGACACGCTTAAATTGTCATTGTCACTCAGGGCAACAAATCAACTTTTATGGAAGTTATCGATCCCACTGCAATTATGAATTCGACATTAACAAGGTCGAAATATCACTTTTTAGCTCTCACAATCTAGCTTACAGATGTATTAGTGAAGATAGCTTTATTTCAATCTGGACATGATGAAAACCTCAGGAGTTGCACAGTTCAAACTATGTTAAGCATTCTGAGGGCCCTCACTCTAGTGGCTAAAAAAGGCTTGATGTAACTGTAAAACAGGCTTTCTAAATCAGTAGAGTAAGAAACCCGGTACAGTGTAACTTCATACGCGCATAGCATGTTTTAAATCGTCGAAATTGAAACAGGGACAAATTCCAGCTCAAGTGAGGTTTACAAACATACCTGTAATGCCTTGTCGTAAATGTTCTCCCTTCCATGGTCTCCAATAGACGAAGCTAACCGTTTGGCGTCAAGGAGTAACTTTTCCATTTCTTCCGTAGGTTCCATCGTAGCCTGCTTCACCTCCCATAAGTTCTCATAAAAACTCAGTGCTTCTTTTCCATATCTTCTGAACATTTCTTCCTTCTCAAGTTCCTTACATAACTGGAGGATTCCAGTGATCGTTCTCTTCCTTGCCAAACCAAACTCCTTCATCTTCTCTCCACCTTTCCCTTCTTCCCACTGCGTTTGCCAAGTACTCAATAGGCTCTCTTGGAATTGTGGAATATATTCCTCCTTACCAGCATCTCGGTACAGCTGTTCTACCTTTATTTTTAGCGTCGCTTTGTCGTAGCCATCTTCCTTCTCGCCGACAAAGTCTGGTCTCACAAGAACCTTTTTGTAGAGCGCCAACTTGATGTTTTTGTGCCTCGTAAGTTTTTCACGCTCGGCAAGGGTACGGCAAAACTCAATTACCTTGTCCAATAATTCATCTCTTTCTTTCAACATCTTATTAAGCACACTGTTATCTGTTTCCTTATCAAACTCTTCTTGAAACTCTTCGTTAGTAACACTCTGCATCCCTTCATAGAACCATAGGGCCTCCTTTGCAACTTCATCCTTGTCTTTCTTGTCACGAACCAGGTACAGTAAGGCATCAATTATCTCTTTGTTGTACTTGGTGAAGTTAAACTGCGCCGAACGTTTCTCTTCATCCCAGAAGCGCTGGCAAAACTTCAGTGCATCTTTCCTAAATTGCCCTTTCTTACCAAATATTACTGCGAGATATTGTGACATCGTTCTTTTCGCTGACTTTTCATACATGTCCTCAACACCAGTGATAATCTTTCGCCACACTTCACTATGGTTTCCTGTACCAAGCGACTTCTCCATTTTCCACGCTTCAAGGAACAATTGCAAGGCTTTGGCGAATTCTCCAAAGTTGGCCTGAATCACTGCTCGCTGGAAAATGCTCCGCACGGTCAGTGGGTGATTCCCAAGAAGCTTCATTCTTATTTTGTAGGCCCTGTCTGCAGGTTCAACTGCTTCGGGATACTTCTCTTGGAACATGAGAGAATTGGCAAGATTTCTACAGAAGTGAGCTTCATCATGAAAACCTGAGAGTTTGAGTTCTTCCAAAAGTTTCAGTGCATCCTTGTAATACTTCACTGCCTTCTCATAGTCTCCCTGATCCTCATACACTGTGCCGATTTGATTCTTGTACATTGGCATGTCGAGGTGGTAGTCTGAACCAGCCAACTCCTCTTGCATTTTGTATGCTATATTGTAGAACCCAAGTGCTTTCTCCGGTTTCTGGAGGTGGAAATGGCAGTTTCCAATCGCATTGTAACACCTTGCAACATCGGTATGAGCTTTAAGGAGTTCCTCTGTGAATTGTAATGATAACTCCAAGGTTTGTAGTGCTTTTTTGTAGTCTCTTTTCCTCCAGTAGATCTCCCCCTCAGAATACAGGAGAAGTCCTTTGCTGAGCCTGTAGGATTCACTTGATTTGTCTTGAACATTTTCTAATGAAGAGGACGCTTCTTTCAACACTTCAAATGCTTTCTCAGTTCCATCAACATCTGAAACTTGTCGAGCTTCCCAACATTTTAATTGCGCCCGGCATAGAGACCCTGTACACGACCAAATAAACTACAAGTGAGACGAGATAATGATAAACGAAAAACTGACTTTGCCTGTTTTATTCTCCTTAAAGTAACCCTAGAGCGTGTATACATAAATGTAACCCACATCCCTCCAATTCCTAACATTGTCTGAGGTTTCCCTAAAATAGCCTGCTGGTGTCTTCACTACGTAAACCAGGGCTCCTGCCCAAACAAAAGAAAAGGTAAGGGTACACTGTGCACAGGAAAATCAGGGAGATACTTAAGACTAGACAATCAAAGTGCTCTATAAGCAAATCTGTAGATTTCCCAGTGAATGATGATTGACATGAGCTACGCTTTGCGTAAAATGGAAGAAATTTTTCATAAAAAATAACTCCGCATTGCGGACAAAAAAGATGAAACCAAGCTCGTTATTTTTAGCTCTTTTGTATTTCAGTGTCGAATGACTTTTCGTGGATACTACATGACGTACAAGAACAGCTGCACGACATGAACTGCATCGCTCAGATGGATTTACTCATTCTCGACTAAGCCACTTTACCTTGTACACATCTCGTCGCCTAATTGAAACTGATAAATGTTGCTCAACATGTTTTTCATGACGTCTGAAGACAGCTAGTCTGCATTACGTGCGACTCAGCGCCGCTACTTCGAGTGCGCGGCTGTTTGGACAACAAATCACAATAGGCTGCGAATAAGATCGAAGCGTCTACTCGCAGGGTAGATGTGAAAGATCTTCAGAGAAATCGAAGATTTTCTATGAATTAGAAACACACAGCATGTAAGCCATCGGATGCAATTCGATCATGCGAAACGGCAAGGTCGTGTAACATAAAACCGTGTTCTTATCCGTTCCAAGCCCGAAATAAGTGCAGTACATGGGTGTTCTTCACCGAAAAAAAGAGCTAAACAAGAAAAAAAAAAGACCAGTGGCTTAAAAAGAAAAGGAAGGAAGGAAGGAAGGAAGGAAGGAAGGAAGGAAGGAAGGAAGGAAGGAAGGAAGGAAGGAAGGAAGGAAGGAAGGAAGGAAAGAAGGAAGGAAGGAAGGAAAGAAGGAAGGATCGTTTCCCAAAATTTCTGTTCCCTATCACGTTTTGATCTGTAAGTATCAAAATACTTAC